TTTTTTTTTTTTTTAAGTTGTAGTCCCTAGGTAGTGCAAAAGGTTAATAGACGTTCTGCTGCTAACCGGCTAACAAAGATTGGAAGATGGAGTCCACACAGAGATACCTCAGAAGAAAGACATTGTGATATACTTAAGAAAAATCAGTCATTGAAAACCATACCAATCACAGTTGTACTCTGACACACGAGAGTCATGATACGAAGTAGAGTTGACAGCAATAGGTAATTAACTAGTAAGAGTTAGTGCTAAACATTAGCTTCTATTTAGTTCCTACCAAACAGGTAGTCAGTTGTGAGGTGTTGTTGTTGTTGTTACGTGCAGTCGAGTCAGACCTGACTTATAGCGACCCCTCCTTGGGTTTCCTAGGCAGTATCACTATGGAAGTAGATTGCCCAACCTTCCTTCTGAGGAGTGGCTGGTGGGTTTGAACAGCCAGGCTTCTGGTTAGCAGTCAAGTGCCTTAGGCACTACACTACCAGAGCTCGTTTGTGAGGTGAGTTCTGCTTAATTATGGTATGGTTTTTGAAGAGTGAAGGAGCCCTAGTAGTGCAATGGTTAAGCACTCAACTGATAACCAAGGTCAGTCACTCCAGTCCACCAGTCACTCCGCTGGAGAAAAGACCTAGATATCATCTGTTGTAGAAATTCTCACTACTGTACAGTCAGACCTGACTCATAGCGACCCCTCCTTGGGTTTCCGAGGCGATATCAGTTCGGAAGTAGATTGCCCAATCTTCCTTCCAAGGAGTGGCTGGTGGGTTTGAACCACTAGCTTTCTGGTTAGCAGTCAAATGCCTTAGGCACTGTGCTACCAGAGCTCCTAAAGAAACCCTGTGGAGCAGTTTTACTCTGTCCTATAGGGTCACTATGAGTTGGAACAGGCTTGATGGTACACAGCAATAGCAACAGTTAAGTAGGGCTATAAAGGAAACAGTCTAGACAATTTGCAGTCTGCTTTGAGTTTGATTCAAAGTTTTGTGAGTTTGTTAGCAGTGTGATCATGAATAGCATATCTAGTTTCCCTCATCTGTAAATATTAGTCTTATTTTCCTTGTACATAAAGTGGGGAAAAGACTTTTCAAAAGCCTGACTACACAATGGCTAACAGTGAACACGATGCCTGTAGCTCTGGTAGCATAGTGCCTAAGGCACTTTACTGCTAACCAGAAGACTGGCACTCTTAAGTGCTGTAGTATTTCATAGAATCATAGAACCTCAAGATTAGCAATAAATTCATCTGAGCCCTATGCTATTTTTATAATGTCCTCACCAGCCTCCTTGGCATGAATCTCAAGTGCATTCACTTACAAGCAAATGTCCCAATTTCTTTCTGTCTTTCTCTGCTCATATATTGACCCAAAATTTTAGTAGATTTAACGAAAAACTCTCCACAAGCTCCTCATTGGTGCTCAGGTTCTTGCTCTATATTCTGGAGCTACAAAGAATAAATCTAATCTCCTATATAATAGTCTTTCAAATGTTTGGGGCAGCTCTTTTGTCTACATCTGTCTCAGATTATGGTGGGATAGTGCCTAAGGCACTTGACTGCTAACCAGAAGGCTGGCGGTTCAAACCCACCAGCCACTCCTTGGAAGGAAGGTTGGGCAATCTACTTCCATAGTGATATTGCCTCAGAAACCCAAGGAGGGGTCTCTTTGAGTTGGGTCTGACTCCATGGCAGTGAGTTTGGTTTGGTTTGGTTGGGAGCTTCTTCAAGGAGCTCTAGTGGCATAGTGATAAGGTACCAGACTGCTAACTGGAAGATCTTTGCAGAAGGAAGATGGGGCAATCTACTTCTGTAAAGATTTACAGTCTTGGAAACCCAATGGGAGTCACTATGAGTTGGAAATGACTTGATGGCAGTAAGTTTGGTTAGAAGCTTCTTCAACTGCAATTCTTTCAAGTGTAGAATCTCATGTTTGGATTTGCATGAAAAACAACCTTAGCCTTTGAAGGTAAATGGTAGATGAGAGCATTGACTTTTAGACTAGTCATCCTCTGGAGAAGATGCTTAAATTCTCCTACATAATCTAGCCTCTTAATGTTGATGGAGAACAAGGATGTTTTTTTTTTCAATTGGTCACTGCAGTCCCTTCCAACTCTAAATTCTATGGCTCAGACCACAGTACTACTCAGAATACCATTTTAACTCACACACACAAAAAAGATACATTGTCAACATATCAACTAGAATGCAATTCTTTTAGTTCTGATTATTTCCAAGCTTCTAAATATAAAAGAACAAGAAATCTCCCACTGGACACATAGATTTTTCCACAGTATTTTTAAGAGTGGAAAAATATTTCTTACATGCATCTCTTTTCTCCAGAGTTGCTGTTGTTGTGGGTGGTTGAGTTAATTTTAACTCACAGTGATGATATAGGACAGAGTAGAACTGTCCCATGGAGTTTCCAAGGTTATCTTTACAGAAGTAGACTGTTGTATGTTTCTTCCATGCAATCACTTGTGGGTTTAAACCACTGGCACTTCAGTTAGCAGCCAGGCGCTTAACCACTGTGCCACAGGGTTGTTTTCTTTCCAAGAGGGTTCTACATCTCAAATATTTAAAATTTCAAAGTAAGTATACCACGACTTTGTGCTACATTAGCTGTACAGAGATATTACCCAATGTCTTCTCTAAGCAGTCCCTAAACCACATATAGCTTGGTAACAAAAGAATGAGAATTTTTGTCTTAGTAAATGCTGCATAAAAATTAGAAAATATATAGTCTTTGTCTATACTAGAATGTTTTTTAATTGAAATATAATGAGATATTAATTAATCAGAATCTTCATTTCAAATTTTCATAATCTCTTTTCAGGAAGGTGAAAAAAGTTACAAGAAAAGAAGGTGATCACATATATTTGATCCAAAGAATGTGCCTTCAAATTTTTACTGGATTTTTTTATAGCTTTAATCCAATCAAGTTCATCTTTGGCATCTAGAGTTCTTTCATGAATAGCACATGTTATTCATAACCTATTAATTCCTTTTACAATTATCCTCAATAGCATTTGAGTAGAAAACAAACAAATAAATAATAAAACAAACAAACAAAAAAAAAAATTGTCTACATCAAACCACTGAAAACAATAATCAGCCAGCTTTCTTGTAAATCAAAATTTTAATGAGTCTACTGACTCGAGTCTTTGCAGGCATATCACAGCATCAGTTAATGATCCAACATAGTATTAATATAGAATTAATTACTGGTGAAATAATTAATGAATGGTGAAGATGAAAGCTTTTATTTCCCCTGCTTTCTGTATTTTCTTGTTATGTTTAGTCTTACACTTAATTTTATCCAACTATAAAGACCCTGTGACAGCATTAAGAGAGAAGATTGGGAAGGCTACTCTTGCTGGGATGTTCACAGCAAAAACATTAATGAATATTTAATATTTTATCATTTTCAATTTAAATGTTGTGACTAAAGAGACATTATCTCACAATAAAATAGCACAACCCTGATTAAAACATTAAAACATACCTTTAAACTGAGAAATGAACAAAATCATCAAAAGTGTATACCCGGGAATCATTCTGAATAGCTCTGATAGAAGAGGGGCACATGTGCTTCCTCCTTGCTTCTACTGCAAGGATGAAGAAACTGACCAGATAGCTAGGCAGTTTTGATCCAGCACAAGGAAATGTTCTGTGATCACAGCACGTAACTGATTTTGTCCTTAAGGCTAAAAGCTGGAGGGTGAACATCATGTACTAATTAAGTGTAACCAATGAGGTAGATGTGGTGGAGGTGGGCTGAGAGTAGATTCCTATTTCATATTTAATATAAATATGACTTCCAGGTGTATCACATTTCAAAAGTTGAAAAAAAATCATGAGTATCTTACAAAATATTTTTGGAGACTCTTTTTATAAAGTTTACTTGAAGAAGGACTTCCTACATAGAATATTGTATGTAGAAACCATAAGGGAAATTTTGATAAAAATAAACTAAATATAAATATTTAAAATCTACACATATCATAAATCACAAATAAAATAACAAGCAAAACACTTCAATAATGTATGCAACAAATATAAAGCAGGGGGCTTGTAATGTGAACTCCTTCAAACTAATAAAAAGGAAAGAAAACAACAATAAACAAATGGATAAAGGACTTGTGCAAACCTGTCTATGCCCATGTTCTCTCTTCCTATTAAAGGATATACACTTTTACTAATATAACTCTTTTCTCTTTGTTTGGGATTCTTTCTACTCACTCCATCTTTCATTATCAGTTATCCTTCTAATACTTCCACACATTGAACTAGTTTCTGTCAACTGGAAACTTCTCTTTCTATATTTAAACAAGCTTATAGCTCTCCCTTTTCAAAATTCCTATCCTTAACCCTAAATCCTATACTCCCATTATCATATTCTTTTCCATTACCGTGTCAGCTAAATGTCTTTTAAGATTTACCTGTATGTCTTGTAATAATATCATCACCCCTAACTCATCTTAACACATTCCAGTCTAGCATCTGCCTTCATTATTTTACAGAAATAGTCTTGATTAATGTCTACAATGATTTCCCCATTTCTGTATCCAATGAGTAATTTGATTCTTATTTGCCTTCTCAACAACATTTGGCACTGCTGATGACTCCTTCACACTTGAAATTTCTGTCCGGTTCCCTTGACACTACAGTCTTCTGAACTTCTTCCTAGCTTTCTGGCAACTTATAGTCATGATCTCTTCTATCCAGCTTTTAAATTTTGGTGTTCCACAAAATACTATATGGGAAGACAGGAGTCTGTGTGCTTGGGGCCAGGCCAAGGTAAGCAAGCCCTGGGACAAGTGGAAGACAGGTGCTTGTGCCTCAGGGACACTCCGGGTAAGCAAGCAGGGTAGGGGAGACCTGGAAATGAGCAAAACAACTAAGGGAGACAAACATGTCTGATGGTTTGTCATACTGTCGTGGCCTGAGTGTTGCTGTGAGGCTGGAGGCTATGGCACCAGTGTTTCAAATGTCAGCAGGGTTACCCATGGTGGACAGGTTTTAGCAGAACTTCTAGACTAAGACAGACTCAAAAGAAGGGAGAGGCAATCCACTTCTCAAACAATTAGCCAGTGGAAACTTTATGAATAGCAGTGAAACACAGTCTGATATATTACTGGAAAACTTTATGACTTTCCCTGAAACATTGTCTGATATGGTGCTGGAGAATGAGCCCTTCAGGTCTGAAGGCACTCAAAATACCACTGGAGAAGAGTTGCCTCCTCAGAGTAGAGCTGACATTAATGAGGATAGAGTAAAGCTTTCAGAACCCCCATTTGCTGATGCAACATGTCTCCAGATGAGAAGAAATAGCTGCAAACATCCATTATTAATTGGAACATGGAATGTGTACAATGTATGAATCTAGGAAAATTGGAACTTGTCAAAAATGAAATGGAATGCATAAAGATCAATATATTAGGAATTTGATGTCATTGTTGTTATGTGCTGTCGAGTCATATCTGACTCATAATGACCCCTCCTTAGGTTTCCAAGGCAGTATCACTACAGAAGTAGATTGCCCCATCTTCCTTCCAAGGAGTTGCTGGTGGGTTTGAACTGCCAGCCTTCTGGTTAGCAGTCAAGTGCCTTAGGCACTATGCTACCAGAGCTCCTATGTTAGGCACTAGTGAGCTGAAATGGACTGGTTCTGGCCATTTTGAGTCAGACAATCATATGATCTACTATGCCAGGAATGACAAATTGAAGAAGAATGGCGTGGCATTCATCATCACAAAGAATTTATCAAGATCTATCCTAAAGTACAATGCTGTCAGTGATAGGATAATATCCACACACCAATGAAGAAGACCAGTTAATACTACTACTATTCATATTTACACCAAAGCCAAAGATGAGGAAATTGAAGATTTTTATCAACTTCTGCAGTCTGAAGTTGATCAAACATGCAATCAAGATGTGTTAATTATCGGAAAGCAAAAGTTGGAAACAAAGAAGAATCACCAGTAATTGGAAAATATGGCCTTGGTAAAAGAAATAATGCTGAAGATCACAGGATAGAATTTTGCAAGATCAATGACGTATTCATTGCAAATACCTTTTTTCAACAACACAAATGGTGGCTATACATGTGAACTTTGCCAGACGAAGTACACAGGAATCAGATTGACTACATCTGTGTCAAGAGGCAATGGAGAAGAGCAGTATCTTCAGCCAAAACAAGGCTGGGAGCTGATTGTGAAACAGATTATCAGATGCTCATATGCAAGTTCAAGTTGAAGCTGAAGAAAATTAAAACAAGTCCACGAGAGCCAAAATATGACCTTGATTATATCCCTCCTGAACTTAGTGACTATCTAAAGAATAGATTTGATGCATTGGACACCAATGATCAAAAACCAGAGGAATTGTGGGATGACATCAAGAACATCTTCCATGAAGAAAGGAAAAGGTCATTAAAAAGACAGGAAAGGAAGAAAAGACCAAAATGGATGTCAGAAGAGACTCTGAAACTTGCCCTTGAGCAGAGAGTAGGTGAAGCAAATGGAAGAATCAACAAGATAAAAGAGCTGCACAGATTTCAAAGAGCAGCTCAAGAAGACAAAGCCACTTATTATAATGAAATGTGCAATGACCTGGAGTTAGAAAACCAAAAGGGAAGAACACACATGGTATTTATCTTGCTGAAAGAACTGAAGAAAAAATTTAAGCCTTGAATTGCATTATTGAAAGATTCCATGGGCAATATGTTGAACGATACAGGAAACATCAAAAGAAGATGGATGGAACACACAGAGTCACTATACCAAAAAGAATTGGTGGTGATCATCTGTTTCAGGAGGTGGCATATGACCAAGAACCAATGGTATTGAAGGAAGAAGTGAAAGCTGTACTAAAAGAATTGGCGGAGAACAAGGCTCTGGGAATTGACGGAATACCCATTGAGATATTTCAACAAATGGGTGCCGCGCTGGAGGCACTCACTTGGTTATGCCAAAAGTTTTTGAAGACGGCTACCTGGCTGACTGACTGGAAGAGATCCTTATTTGTACCCATTCCAAAGAAAGGTGATCCCACAGAATGTGGAAATTATCAAACAATACCATTGATCACATGCAAGTAAAATCTTACTGAAGATAATTAAAAAACAACTGTAGCAGTACGTTGACAGAGAACTGCCAGAAATGCAAGCTGGATTCAGAAGGAGATGTAGAGTGAGTGGTATCATGGCTGATGTCAGATGGATCTTGGATGAAAGCAACAAATACCAGAAAGATGTCGACTTGCATTTTATTGACTATGTGAAGGCATTTGATCATGTGGATCATAACAAATTGTGGATAACATTGAGAAGAATGAGAATCCCAGAACACTTAATCATATTTATGAGGAACCTGTGCATAGATGAGTAAGTAGGCTGTCACAATTCAAATGCATTAATTCCTCTGCAGTCTTCTTATTCATCGCCCAGTTTTCATATGCAATAGACGAAGATTGTTGTTGTTATGTGCCATGGAGTCGGACCTGACTCATAGAGACCCCTCCTTGGGTTTCCGAAGCAGTATCACTACGGAAGTAGATTGCCCAACCTTCCTTCCAAGAAAAAGATTGCTAAGGTTTAATTCCCAACTCTTACATTTACTACTTAGAAACTTTGGACAATATCTAATCTTGGTCCCACAGTTTTATCTCTAAAAACGAAGATAACAGTAACTATCTCATGGCCATTTATACAAGGATTAAATTAGGTAACTTATGTAAAGCACTTAGAAGTGTGAATGGGGTAGATTTAAATCTATGTAAGAACTGATGTTGTTTTTATTACTTTTACTAGTCTTGCATCATTTGCAACTCTTTTCTTCCTATCTATCTGCCTTCTTCTTTCTTCTTTCCTTTCTCTTAGTTCCAGGCTCTCTGCTTTCTCTCTTTCCTCCAACCTATTAATCTATTGTAGACAAGTCCATCCTGACTCATAATGATCTTAGGGGATAGAGTTGAACCACCCTATAGTGTTTCCAGGGAGCTTTGGTAGCATAGTGGCTAAGGCACTTGACTGCTAACCAGAAGGCTGGCGATTCAAACCCACCAGCCACTCCTCAAAAGGAAGATGGGGCAATCTACTTCCATAATGACACTGCCTCGGAAACCCAAGGAGGGGTCGTTATGAGTCAGGTCCGACTTGATGGCACATAACAACAACAACAACTGGTAGCATAGTGCCTAAGGCACTTGACTGCTAACCAGAAGGCTGACGGTTCAAACCCACCAGCCACTCCTTGGAAGGAAATAGGGCAATCTACTTAAGGAGAGGTTGCTATGAGTCTGAGTTGAGTGGGACTCGACGGCACATAACAACAACAACAACAACATAGTGTTTCCAAGGCTGTAAATCTTTACAAAGGCAGACTGCCACATCTGTCTCCTGAAAAAGTGCTGGTGGGTTCAAATTGCTAATGTTTTCAGTTAGAAGCTGAACACTTAACAATTGCATAACCAGGGATCCTTCCTTTGCTACAACACCACCATGTTTTGTCCCATCAAAGAGCCTTTGAATACGCTTCTTTCTCTCTTGGAG